AAATTTCATGGAGACCATGCACAAAAATATACATTCTTTTGCTTACTTCACAGGAAATCACATTACCTTCATATTTTATTCTCGAAAAAGCATTTAATTAGGTTTTAGAAAAGTTTCTAATTATGGGATTTTTACAACCGTACGATGTCCAAGTATGCCAGACCGCATATGTCCATTTATTAATGTTCTTCCTGAAACGTACAACACAGTCCGGATCCATTGTAAAATTTACTGAACTCTTTGTATTGTCGTCTTAAAGGTATAGTCGAAGAAAATTATTTTCCTTATGCGGAGTGCATGTACCTAGTAGACTGAAATTGCTAAACACTCAGGCAATAGCCGATCAGGGTGATAATTATTTGGGAATGGGGAAACCATTCGAAATCTAAAATACCCACTTGTTGGGGTATAAAATATGAAATAATGTTATTTTCTTCAAAATGAACGACGGCAAACATATTTTTCTGCATGTTTCCTGTAAGTTATATTTGAATTTACAAAACCATCGCAAACCGATAGGAAAGTGTATGCTTCTGAAGTAGTCATTTTTTTAGCAAGTGCGCTTTCTGTAGGAGGTCACAAAGACGTAGACTCAAAGGCCGATATCCAAGCAATCCAGAAATGTTATGGGTTACGCCGTACGTTAATCAGCATCACAAAATCTTCAGCTAACCCTTACTAATCGTAAACCAATTGCAGAATTTTGGATCACATTTTCTGCCATCGGTCACGTACTCGAACTATTGCAATGCTTACGCTGTGAGGAATGATTCGCGCGCCTAGCAGCGGAACGCCTACTATTATCCCACACCACTTTTCCCCATCCGTAGTTTCTAGTGAGTTACTGATTTGCTCTGCCTTACATGTCCATGTATGACAATACTTACATACGTCCAACGGGCTACAGTGAACACTCCGATGCAGGGCTGTTGTTTTACTGATTATTTACGTCAAATAGACTCCACACGGTTTCATCAGAAAAATTTATATAAAAAATACCAGAAATCCTATGACATTGTTTGGGCACGGGCTTCTGCATACCGCAGGCTGAAGGAAAGGGGGACATATGTTGTAGACTGGCCTTCTGTTGCTTTGGGCTTCGGTTGTTGGGAAAGTCTGCGAAGACGATTGCGAGCATTACGCTCATATAGCCTTCGCATATCCTGCCGACAGAAGACACTGACGGAAGGTTGGAACCGTTGG